ATCCTTTCCGGTCCCCCCCCACAAAAATTAGACACACCTTGCCATTCACGGCCGAGATAACAGGTGTCTGGTCTACACTCCACTAACTGTTTGTACTCGTCAAACAGACCGTACGAAGAACATATCATTACTATTATTGCAGCCTGCTAACGCTGTAAGGACTTGCATTGGCCTTCTCTCTCTCTCTCGCTCTCCCTCTCTCTCTTCACCAGTGAGCCAGCATGTCTCTATCATCCAGCCCTGATGCCCACTGGGATCGACTAGAGGCCTGGCTGAGTGCCATAACTGGTACCCTCCTGCCTGAAGCCTTCCAGACGCACTGCATGATGTCTACACCGGAGCGGACATTTTGATTCGCCTCAGGGCTCACGTGGACATGATCAATGAAGGGATATGGGCTCCAATGACCTCACAGTCACCCACTGTTCTGGTCAACCTCGAGAACCTCCTGTCAGGCCAAACCATCCCTGAGTACCAGCTTACACCAAAGGGGTCGCTGTTTGACTCAACCTGCGAAGCGGCCAAGCTCTCAGCCACACCCTAGGCTTCTTCCAACCTTCACCCGAATATGGGGAACTGGGCCTCACTTTGGAAGCCACAGCCCTCGTTGAACTGACATCTCGGGCAGTGTACATCTTGTTCAATAACTGCACGGCAATGGATGTCAGAGTGCCTAAGGCGTACCGTCTGGGTTGGCTAGTGAGTTATGACTTCCATGACTTTGAACTAATTCTACCAATAATTGGACCCATCTCAGATTCAATGATTCCAGAAGGAAGCTCAGGCCACACAGTGTCAACAGCACCCTTCAAGATCATCACCATAACTTCAGTCATGCCAGTGGTCAGGGAGTAGGTGTTTAGAACAGAGCTAACAGAAGACCAACACTTTGCCGTGTATACTGTCTCTAACCACTCCACCTGCGAGAATGACAGCGTGACTGCACCTCTGACTGCCCACTGCACAGAGGAAGTAATGACAGAAGAGCCTTACCCAGGTTTTGAGACACAAGTCCAGCAAATTCTGAAAGATCCTGATGCCATACAGGAGGATGCAGACCGCCACAAACTCTGTCAAGTCCTGAACAAATACAAAGAATAATTTGCCAAGGACTCTTTAGATTGTGGCCTCACTAACCTCCTTGTTGTGTGTGTCCCAACGCACCCAAAAGATCCACCCACTTTTGTCAAGCAATACAAGATCCCCCTAGAATCGTACGAATCTGTACAGGAGATCATCATCTCTATGCTTGAAAAGGGTGTCATCCGTCCGTGTAACAGCACCTACTCTGCCCCTATCTGGCCTGTCTTCAAACCAAACGGCAAGTGGCGGCCAATCATTGACTATAGGAAACTGAACCAACAGGTGCCATTGTTGTACCTCACAGCCGCTTACGCTGGCTCCTCAAATCTCCACTAATGACATTGCTGACATGCAAGCCTCTGACTCCACCATCAAAACTATTCTTCACCACCTCGCTGACCCCTCCAGCCACCCTATCACACCAGATGAACTTGCTGCTGCCCCAAGCCTCAAACGGCTGTACCACGTAACACACTTGCTGCGTCTGATAGACAACATTCTGTTTTATGCCCCTGATGACTACACTGCACCAAGGCTTGTGGTGCTACAGTGCCAAAGGGGGGTGATGCTGATGTATGCTCACGACGCACCATGTGCAGGACACCATGGCACAAGAGCCACTTATGAGACACTAAAACAAGTGGCATCCTGGCCCGGCATGCGACAGAAGAGCCATACCCAGGTTTTGAGACACAAGTCCAGCAAATTCTGAAAGATGCTGATGCCATACAGGAGGATGCAGACCGCCACAAACTCCGTCAAGTCCTTTACAAATACAAGGAATCATTTGCCAAGGACTCTTTAGATTGTGGCCTCACTAACCTCCATGTTGTGCGTGTCCCAACGCACCCAAAAGCTCCACCCACTTTTGTCAAGCAATACAAGATCCCCCTTGAATCGTACGAACCCGTATAGGAGATCATCAACTCTATGCTTGAGAAGGGTGTCATCCGTCCGTGTAACAGCACCTACTCTGCCCCTATCTGGCCTGTCCTCAAATCAAACGGCAAGTGGCGGCCAACCATCGACTATAGGAAACTGAACCAACAGGTGCCATTGTCGCGATGGCCTGTGACCCAGCTGGAACAGGAGATACCAAGAATCAGAGGAGCCACAATCTTCTCCACTCTTGATGTGGCCTCAGGATTTTGGACTATACCAGTGCATCCAGATGACGAACACAAGCTGGCTTTCACCTTTTGCAATCGGCAGTACACCTTCACCAGGTGCCCATTCGGCTATGCCAACTCACCAGCCGAATTTAACATCTTCCTTAACAAAGCATGCCCGGATGCCAGGGTAAGAGGGAACTCTTACGAATGTCGATGACCTTCTGATGAAACACACGACGGTGGCTGATCACCTGAAAGAAATTCAGACCCCAACTACTGCCACCTACCTGCCACAGGAATTTTGACGAGAATGTCTGCCAAGGCATGCCCACAGCCTACGTCGATGGATGTTCCTACAACCATGAGGGCATCCTAAAGGCAGGTGCTGGTGTTCTCTGGCTACATGATCGACCTTGCCCACCACAACATTTCAAGCGGTTGCCAAAGGGGGGTGATGCTGATGTATGCTCACGACGCACCATGTGCGGGACACCACGGCACAAGAGCCACTTATGAGACACTTAAACAAGTGGCATACTGGCCCGGCATGCAGCAAGATGTGGCAGAGTATGTGAAAGGATGCCTTGTTTGCTGCCAATTCCAACCGGCAAACCCAAACCACAGAGCCCCACTGCAGCGCAGAAGAATCACATTTCCTTGGTCAGACCTCCAAATTGACTGGGTCGGACCCTTACCCAGGTCAACAAGGGGCAACAAGTATTTTCTCACAGTACTATTTGTACTATATTTTGGGTAAAACTGCACCAATCATCCAGACCGGCCATAAACATGCAAAGGGACCATAAAGGGAGACAAAGAAAACTTCTCCCGCTCAAAAATTCACGCCTGGTATTGGCTATTCTACCCAAAGGTGGGTGTGGATAGGAACTGTCAAAAGTCATTAACTTAGACTAATCTTTGCTCAAAAACTTTTTCTTCTTGAGACGGACACTCTCCAAGACTCCTCAAAACTCTCCTCTTGAGTTTGATTTTCCGGCGGATTGTTTTCTTGAAGTAACTTTGTCGATTCGCTGTGGGCTTTCCTATCTTCAGATGAACCAGAGCAAAACCTCCAGCTCACTCCTAAAGAACTCATCAAGAACCTCCGTGTCTACCGCATCGGGAATCTTGTTCAGCAACAAAGCCAATGCAAGTAACCATTTCCAACTAGTTAGATGCGTGTCTAAGTTTGGGCCCCTTTGTGAAGGTGATTTTTGATTCTCTGATGATTCTCATTTGGTTGTGGTTAATTGATGCTAAATACTGCCATTCTTTGTTCGTCTCTCTCTCTCTCTCTCTCTTTCCTTACTTTCCTTCATTCTGTATATATGTGTTTTGCTTAGTCTTGTTGTATGTTAGCTGTAGTTTCATTTATTAAATCTCTTATATTCACAATTGATTGTCTCTGTGTGCTGCTCACAATTCGGGGTCACTGAATGTTGAATTCTTGTTACATGCTAAATTACTGCTAGCACTGCATAAAGTAGGGAAGCTATCCTTCCTTGGCAAGGAAAATAATCTTTCCTTGAATTTATCAGTTATTATATTGTCTGCTCGGTGGATGGACAGATCAAATAATTGTAATATTGATTCTGCTACAGTTAATTCTAAGATCTAATCTAAATATTTATCATTAATTAATAACCAGTTATAATTAATTATAAATATTTCCCTTTTGAGCTAATTTGCTACACCTTTCAATTAACAGTATTTAGAAAAGAACAAGAATTAAAAATATAAGAAGCTATAGCAATATAAATGACAAGCCAAAACAAATTAATCTAGGCTAAAACGAAACTGAAACCAACCTTGGGTCTCTCATTCCACACAAAATCAAATGTTTCCGTATTCGCAATGTAT